TGACCTGCCGAAAATAGGCGGTTGCTTCGGCCTCTGCATGGTTGGATGTATTGTCACAGGATGTACCCAGCTTGTGGAATGCTTGGCTCCTGGATACGGAAGAGGGATCGGCGTCTCCTCCAGTGCACCTGAGCTGCGAAGACTTCCGGGTACAGGCCTGTCACCAGTGACGCGGACTTCATCTGTAGATGGGACCTGTGCCCTTCTCTCACCAGAAAAACGTCCAGATCCCAGCTCTACAGCCTCCGTTCTCTCACCAGTGTCCTCCTCATGCTCTGCATGCCTTGGGTCTCCCTGCTTCGTCTCATCTCCTTCTACAGCGGCTCGCACAGCATCCAAAAAGCTCGGAGTTCCTACTGCCACAACGTCATCACAGTATAGCTTGGCTACTCCCTGATTTTCCAGATGCCTTTGAACAGCAGTCAAACGGTCTTGCAGTCCTCCCCCGGAACCAGCTCTTCCCCCTCCATGGCCTTCTATACTCTCCCCCACAGCAGGGTTGTCTCGGGAACCACTAGAGGTCTCAGGATTCTGGGGCCTAAGCTCAACCCTAGGATGTCGACGTCGAAGACCTTCCTCAGGAGGCGTATCCTCGGGTCTAGGGTAACCTTGGTTTGAAGGACTATCGACAGAACCGTCGTCTATCACAGACCAGTCACTAGCCTGCTCATATGGTATTCTGAAAACCCTCACATTTTCAAGATCCTCGGGCGGAGCATTTCTGCGACTCAACCACCAAGTGAGAAACAAGCCGCCAAGCAACGCCAACACACAAGCTGCAAGCTTCAACAAGCTCAACTGGTCTCCGGACTCAGAATGTCCATCCTCAACCTTGACAGTGATCGACACCTCTCTTTCACCAAGCACACGCTGCAAGCAAGAAGCCGCTGCAAGAGCACGCACAGCTGCTACTGCAGAACCTGCTACTGCTGACTCGGTTTTAAGCCAGTTTTTTGTAGCTTTGCTGGCGTTGTTTTTTGTATCCCTAGCATCCGACTCCCCCCAAGCGGAAACCGCTTGCGATGCACCTTGCATACCCAGCAGCTGGCACAGCTCACGAAGACGTTGTCCTTGCAAAGGCTTAGTGCACAAGTCACCTAGCATCCAACGACCAACAAGATGACGTAGCTCGTACTGCTCATCTTCTAGTTGCTCCCTAAAGGCCTTGGCCTTCAGGCGAAGGTGCCTTGTACGCCAAGCTCCGGATGGAGCGGCGAACAAGGTTACACAGCTGACGTTGTCGTTGTAAACAAGCTTTCTGACTGGCAACTCAAGCAACTCTGCAATGATTGGACCTAAGACATGCAGCAAGGTGATGCCATCAATTGTGGAGTGCAACTCGCTCTCTGCCGTGGACAAGCTGACAACTGATTGGCGAGTACTCAACCAAGCAACGGCCGCGCCGCCAAAGGTAGCAACAACTCCTGTCTGACTTTTCTGATTTGCCGGCGCGAAGCTCGCGTCCGCAAAGATTTCCAACAGAGCAAGTTGCCGAGGAGCTCCTAGCGCATCGCTTTCACCAAACATAGCGTCACTGTCAACGGGATCGAAGCGCAAGCCAAGGTCAATGGTCCGCCGAAGATACTTCAACAGAGTCTCGCTACAGGCGACAGCGTAAGCAGGAAACTTGCTCATAAGCTGCGCAATACGATTCGTAGCATAGGAAATGTCGGGCCGCGACCTGCAGCTCAACCATTGAAACGCTCCACCGTAAGCCTGCGCTTGTCTGAGCGTCTGCAGGTTGGGGCTTTCTTCTGGAGGCTCCTCGTCTTTGAGATAAGGCACCTCTGAAGTTCCAACAACTTGCGGATAGCGCAACAGGAGGTCTCGAATGTAGTCCTCCTGGTTGAGAAGAAAACCACCCGTCTCTAAAGCATGCAAGTTGAAACCGCAGAAGCGAACAGACTTCCCTGGTTGCACGATGTCTGGTTCCGAAGTGGTCCATATGCTCTGAATGGCTTTTACGAAGCTATCCACAGCTTCTGACTCACCCGTGAACAGAATGTCATCTAAGTCTACGTATATACCGATAAGGCCTACCACATGGCGCGTCCCTGCGGAATCCCAACGAATTATCTTCCACAAGTTTTCGTCTGTACGGCATTGCTGTAGACAAAACGTAGACCCGTTTTCATCGGTCCACTTCATTTGAGATAACTGCAGGTTACGCTCAGTGGCCCATGCCGCCGGTGCCTCCGCCAGCCCGTAAAGGGCTTTGAGAACCAGCCACTTTTCCCCGGGCTCTATTACCCCCAAAGTGATGAGGATTTTGGGCGGTGTGACAATGATCGCTTTAGACATCAGCTTCTTAGTAGCCTTGGACCCTAAACCCTGCCCTTGAAACAATGGAGCAGCAAGAAAAGCGGTCTTTATGTCTAAAGTACCTGCTCTCCATCGCCTGCCAGATGCCAGCCGAACTTGCAATCGCACAGCTGCCCCATCAATTCCAGAAGCGTACAGGTCCTGACTGCGAGCCTGTCCTAAGGCACCATCGGCCTTGTCATCCCTAGCAGTCGGCATATAGTTCCCACAGCCTACCACACGGGCACGCTTCTTGTTGGTAACTGCCTTCTGCGTGAACACACATTTACCTGGTATGTGTGTTACTGTCATGGTTTTTTCAAGCTCAGCAATCTCAGCAGGGCTGATGGCTCTGACAGCTTGATGCGTGACCTTGAGGGCATTAACCTCTTCCGTCAGAGGAATACGCCAACTCTCAAGATCCTGCCAGACCTCCTGTTGGGAAACTACACGAGTTTGCAATACGACGCCAGGGTCTTCCGGGGGTTTCGCGCCCTTGGATTCTACGTAGCTAGAATGCAAGCCAAAGTCTGGGTGTTTAGCACCTGGCTGAAAAGGAGGTTCGCCTGTCAGAGGCAGCTCTCCCAGCTCGTTCGCTGGATCATTGCCCTGAACGTCAACCGACCCTCTCTCATCAACCTCACCTGCATCCCCAACTTGAACACTGCAAAGGTTCACGTTCTCGTAAATGCCACGACCCTCAAAATCCCCAATAATCCCTTCAATAGACTGAAGTTTCCGAAGCCAAAACCCGGTGTCTAGCCCTTTACTAAGACTGTCCAAAACATGGTCATGCTCTTCAGCGAGCACAGCCGCCGTGTACATATCCTGCAATTCGGTAGCCTGTGCGAGTGTGGCGTATCCTTGTCCCAGCTGCACTTCTTCGGTAAAAGCCTTCTGCTCTTCCGCAACAAACTGCCTAAGCCTACAAAGATACTCCGCATGATCCCCGGAGACACCTAACAGCTCACATGCACAAGCACGCAAGGGTGCTATTTGAACGCGCTCCTTCCTCTCGCGTGGGTGCAGGGCCAGTGAGCCGGGGTTTAGGGGAGGCACTTTGCCCTGCAAGGTTTGAGTAGGCAACGTGTTCATGTCACTCTTAAAGATCCACGTCTCCTTGAGCAACTGTTGGGCCTTGGATTCGACGTCTAGAAGACCCTCGCTCTCACTCTCACATCTTTCTTCTCTTTCTTCCTCGACATCTTTCTCTTGAAACTCTGAATGAAAAGCATCATGAGCATCCTCCCGGTTTGGACCACTCCAAACCGGGAAAACCCGGAGACGCGCATCATCAGCATCAGTTGTTTTTCTCGCAGACCGCAGACGCGCATCATGAGCATCGGTGGCGCTGCTTGGCGGTGCAATAACTGGAGCCGCTATAGCATGATCATGAAAGTCCGCGCTGCTGAGTGGTGCATTAAGCCAATTCGCTTCGTTTTTACCATGATCAAGCTCAAAAACGCCTTCAAAAACCACTGACTCCCCCCTGGGCGCATCGCGGCCAGCATCCTCTTTCACAACTGGCGCCGATTTGGCCTTCAGACGACGACCACCCGTAGTAGGAGGATTAGGCGGCGGTGGCAAAGGAGGCTGAGGACCATCTTCCTCAGTGATTTCTTCGCCCTCAAACTGAACTGGCTGCAACACACGCTGCACCGCCACAGGAGCCGTGTACAACCGAACAAGCTCTGTTCCATCATCCTGGACGTCCACCAAACGGACAACCGTGGCGTTGTGAACGCGTTCACTGGGACATACCGCTACACCATGCAAGGTTTTCGCATCAAACGGAGACTTGCGACTCCACTCTCTTTTGCGCACCACCACACGAGTACCGTATGGCACCAGAGGTCTAGATCGCAACTGGCCTCCCAACAAAGCCATACTTCT